GCTGTGTGTGGCAATGAGATGCAAAGGAGGCTGGAGCAGAACAGCCATCCCACATTAATGAGCGATATAGGAGAATAAGACAAAGTGAAAGCCAATATGTGTTTAGCAGTAAGTGCTTGAACTTAGGGAGAGAGCATTTTTTTTTTTTTTTTTATATTGAGAGTTTGATGCAGCAAGTGCTCAGCAGAGTCTGTGCAGTGCCTGTTGTGGAGGGGCTGTGTGGAAGCACTTACTGTGCTTAGGACATGGTCTGCCTGGGAAAGCTGCTTCGAGTCCAGGAGACCTAACCTGTTCCTGTGGGAGGCAGTCAGTCCAGATGCTGACCTTGCCCAAGTCTGGGCTGTGCTCTGGGTTTTGGATTGGATGAGCTTAGGATTCTTATAGTGCACTCTGTTAGGTGATGTGGTTGTGCTGCTGTATCTATGTGGAGAGAGGGATATCCTCTTAGGAAAGGCAGTGGAGCTGCCTACATCTAAAAGCCATTAAAAAAGTGAAAGGGAAGAATGTGTAAACTTAATGTTAATTCTCAGATTTCTCCAGATCCTACTTGAGAGCCTGTGAGGGCCTTTCCAGCGAGGGATGAAATTCACTCTGGATTCCTTAAGCTCCTTCAGGTCTGTAAGCCATGTTGGTTGAAGTTTTCTGTTTTTATTCTGTACGAGGACTTTTTTTGCTGGTTTATTTTCTGCTGGGGCAGTCCAAGGGTATTTCTCAGCACTCTTCTTTCACAGTAATACTGCCATCCAAAATAGAAGCATTGTGTCTGGCTTCACGGAAGGTCTCAGCTCTCTTTGAAGCTCTGTTGGAAGCTTTTTCAATCCCTGGCTTTTTAGACTTTAAAAAATAGAATATCTTGGCTGGATACCTCTTGCTCGAGCACAGAAGTGCTCTTGTATGTTGGTGTTTGAACTGTTCCATGGCCTGCATGCGTGCATTAGTAATGTGTGCTGTTTGATTTCATAGCCATGGTTCTGCTTGTCCATCTTCAGCTTCCTGCACGTATCTCTGGGTGACAGTCACAGCTGTTTGCCTTGTCCAGGTGTGCATGTATTTCAGAGAGGTGACGGGTTGTTGAGCTGGTTTATTTTAAATGTATGAGGTATGGTGTGCTCTGCCTGCTAAGCAGCTGCCAGAGTCTGATTGGTAGCAGCCTGAGCTCCAGCAGAGCAGCGTGCAGAATCTGCAACATTTCTGCTTTATTGAGCCCTGAGAGGACTCTGTGAGGACTGAAAAGAGGGCTCACTGCCTTTCCTCAGATGGACCTTCAAGCCCCTTCCACTCCACTTCTGTAGGTCGCTTTCTTTTCCCTTTTTTCTCTTAAGGGAGGAAAAACAGCCACTTCCTCAGAATTGTGCCTGTTGACTTTAACTCTCTTGAGCCAAAAGGACACCAGGTAGCTATATGTCAATAAAAGTTCACAGGTTCTCTGGTCATTCTCCATCCCTCTGTGACCCTTAGAGTCATGCACCCGTTTTCCATTTAATCCCTAGGCAAGTATGTTTATCGTCAGTAAAAGCAGAAGCTTTCTTCTCTTTAGACGTTTCCTGAGGCTACATCTTTCTTCAAGGGTTATACTTAAAAGCAAGCTGAAACTCTGAAAGGTCTGTGTCTCCTCAAACAGAAGGGCATGAGGATGATGTGCAGGAGAAAACAAAACCTGACCTTCCCCTTGGATGCCTCCCACTTGGCTTTTGGCAGGAAGCTCCAGCTTAGAACTGCAGAATCCTAAGACTCTCTAAGACTCTAAGATCTGTAAGACCATCTAGTCCAATTGCCAACCCATGCCCACCGTACCCACTGACCACATCCCTCAGTGCCACATCTCCACACTTCTTGAACACCTCCAGGCACGGTGACTCCACCACCTCCCTGGGCAGCCTGTGCCTGACCTTTCTTTCTGGGAAGAAATTTTTCCTAGTATCTCTAATAATTCACCATTGTGCTGGCTGCCCTGCATTGCAGCCCCATGACGTCACTGGAAGAAGTCACATGAGGCTCCTGTGAGTAACAGCACAGCATGACTTATGAGGATGTGGCTATCTGGAATCCCAGGTGGGATATGAGCAGCAGGTGTCTGACAGACCTGCTGGTCATCACCTTGATGTAGTGTCCCCAGCTGGGGCTGGAAGCTGGCTGAAGTTCAGTGCCATGTTGCATTCTTGGGAGGAATTTCCACAAGGATTGGCAGATCCACAGCAGGGGAAGCTTTGCTCTGGGCAGGGACAGGGGTGCAGCAAAAGTGATGCTCAGTGCCCCAGTAGCCTGAGGAGGAGTGCTGGGGGCAGCGGGAGCTGTGTGAGTCTCAGCTAAGTGGCACCAAGATTTATGCTACAGTAATTCCTCTTATTATTTGACTTGGTCCTGCATGGTCTGAAAAGCAAGAGTGTTTCCTGGAAGGCTGAAGGGCCTTTTCCCACTTAGTGGTTGGTTTTTTTTTTTTTTTTCCTCATTGCTTTTCTCTGACTGCCCTTTGTCTGCCTTTGGGATTCTTTAAATATGCTTTGGCAATGCATTATCTTCCTCAGCAAGTGTGTCAAGCTGCCTTTTCCAGCACAGTGTGGGGATGCAGCAACCGAGAGCACATGGTACCAAGGAACAGAGGAGCTGTGCCTCTCTCCTGTGTACTGCCTGGTTTTGCAGCAAATCACTGCACACTCAACTTGCCTGCTAGCAGAGTAAGCAGAGCTCTTGCTGTGCATGCTTTGAAGCCCTGGTAGCATCTGACCAGAATCTTTTCTGTCCCATGCGTATGTAGTTCAGAAGCAAAGCGTCTCCAAAGTCAGTGTCAGCCAATGTCTTCCTGTGTCAGCATCCGTTTTCTTAGAGCCAGCCCTGTGCTCTTGAATCCCTCTTGACTTAGAGGGGCTTAACAAAAAATTTCCTGCAGAAAATAATATATAACCCCATTCAAATAGCCAGAGCAGGCTTTATGCTTTCCTCTTCCTGCGACTGCTTTATTTTAAATGCCCTTTCAGCCAGAGCACTTAGTGACGATGTTTTGAAGGGCGCCTTTGTTCTGCATGCAGAAATGTGACTCTGGTGAGCAGCGGAAAACCTGTCAGAGCTCTCCAGGTGCCCGTGGTTTGAAGGGACAAAGGCAGTTTCTTGTGAATCGTGACATTGTTCTGTAGGATTAGTACGGTTGTCTTTGAGAATGGGTGTACAGTGGCTGCTTTGAGAGCAGCTCTCTTAATTAATTGTTTGATACCGATCTTGTTTCTTTTGTTATTTCTTGGAAAGCACTGAGGTTTTACCGAGTCCATGCTGCTAAGGGTAATAGGAAGGTTATTTGAACCAAAGATTCCTTGTGTGGAAATAGCCATGTTTTCTGTGTCATCAGGCCTGTTCTTAGCCAGTATCAAATGCAACCTAAATCTTTCCACCACCTCAACCATTGGGAACAGGAGACCTTGCCATGTCTGCATTCCCCTCACTCCTTTCTTTGCTCTCTGGTAAATGCGAGGTGAAAGTTGGATGAAGAAAGTGATCAGAGACAAAAAGAAAACAAATCCAAAACAAAATGAAAACATCAAGTAAGTTCCTCAAGAGCTCTATTAATGGCAGTGATGACTTGTTTTCCCCAATTGCTCTATGAATTATTATTAAAATGTTAATTTATGGAGGCATTAAGAACACTTCAGAGTGTATTGGTCTCCTGAGAAGCTCCTGGATCGCTGGCGATGTATCTGAGCTCTCCAGCCTTCTCCTGGCAGCTCTGATTACCTGCTGCCTGCTTGTGTGTGATCTCTGAGCCATGTGCTCCTCTGCTCACTGAATTTTTCCTGGCTGTGTTTGGCGTTTGCTTTGTGTGTGGTTTCTCTGCTGACTAGGGGAGGGTCTGTGGCCTTGATAGGTAGATGTGGCTGGGGGAGCCCTTCCTATGCAGGTTGGGGGCTCTCCAGCCTCTGACTCCTCCGATTGCAGCCAGAGATGACGATGTTGCAGCCAGTTAACTGGGCAGCGATTGTGTCATGTACTGGCAGAACTACAACATGTTCTCTGGTGTCATGAAACAAAAAAGCAGGTTGCTGGAAAAGGCAGAGAAAACTCTCTTCTGTTCCTGGTAAGAGCGGGTGAGTTATTGTGCTGTGGCATCATGTTCTTCCAGTGTTGCAAAATCCACCTCCATCTGCAACGGAATGGCTGCAATGTTCTTCTTCCTGGTGATGCTGACGGAGTCGCATCCTTCTGGGGAAATGTGACCACAGGACTGTCCTGGGAACACGTTTTTGGGGCAAATCACAGATTTTTTCCTATTTGTATTTCATCATCACAGTGCTGGTGGCATTGAGGGATCTCAGCCCCTTCTGCTGCCCTTCCCACCCTTGAGAGCTGTCAGAGAAGCCAAGGAGCTCCTTCCACTAATAGGGGAATCACTAATAGGGGAACCACTGTGATCTGACAAGCTCTATATTTCTCCTCACTGAGACGATCTGCTCTGGAGAGGCTGGACTGAACCAGAAGTAAATCCTGATGTTTATATCTGGATAGAGCAAGAACCAAGAACTGCCCCCACAACATGGGGATTTTAGGTATCTTGCCTGGGGGACTGAAGCCCCACTGGTTCTGAGACTGCTGAAAGGAGTGTACTCTTTGGAGCAGTTAATGGAGGTAAATATTAGCTCACCACAGAGCTTGGGTATCACTGAGTGAAATGGAGTTTATTTTGGCCTCAGGCCACGTGAATGGCCTTGATGTAAATGAGAGGAACTCCAAAGTCAGGGCTGAGTTCAGACACATTTGTACAAAAAGAAGGACGGAAAAAGTGGAAAAGAAGGTTAAGTTAGGACACACTGTTCATTAATCTAATGGCAAATGGAGAATGAACCATGAGATATCTGTTAAGGAAATGATTTCCCCTCCCCTCCCGGTCTTTACTGCCTCTGTTTCAGCATCTCAATTCCCAAAAGTTACTGAAATACCATTAAAGGTGCAGCACACTGGTTCTTTCTCCCCAGTCTGACGACAGAAAGATGTTTTATCTTTCCTAGAGTCTTCCAAAGGATGGATGCCCTTCATCTTCATTCCTCCCTATGGATGCTTCCTATGTGTTGGTGGTTATAGGTGGCAGCAGTGAAGGCCACTTGAGTTTGGATGAAGAAAGAAGAGGATGACCAGCTCCCAGCTGCTTCCATCCCTGCTACCTATAGAGTTCAAGTGCAGCCTGCTGAGTGGGGAAAAGTAGGCTTGCTTCAGATTCCCTTTGTCTCTTAGAGATGAGCCCAACCCAGGGGAAAATTGTACAAATGATTTTTTAATTCGTTGGAAAGGAAGGATGAAATAACTGCTGCTGAGCTTTGAGTGGTCTACACACTCCATTCTTGTTAGTACGAGCAATCTGTGCGATCTTAGCTGCTCTCTGCCTCTGCTTGAGGTCCTTCTCCATAATGTGTGTGGTATACAAAGGCTTGTGAGGAACATGTTTAAGGGTAGCTTCACACCTTGCAGCTGGTTCCCTGTCAGGAGCATGATTCTGTCAGTGGCACTGTGCTCATTACTGCACTGCCTGACTGAGCTTAGCTGTTTCAGGTTCATCCTTTTAACCATGTACGGTCCCTTTGTAATCCAATGGTACTTTGCTCCACTAATGAGAGCATCTAGTACGTCAACTTTCATGAGTAGCAGCTTAAGTTGCATCTCTAGAAACGCAGGGAAGCTTTAATTCTAATGAGTGAGCAGCTCCGAGAGCTGAATGCCAAATTCCAGAGCACGTGGCAAGTGGAATTGGCAGCGTACGTTTATCTCAAATTACAGGGAACTGTACTCTGCAGCAGGAGCTGGAAAGCTGGGGATTTTCTGCTTGCCTTTGGGTGCTGCACTACAAGCACAAATGTTGGTTCAGGTCACTGCCGAAGCGCATGTTGAGTCTGGGACTCATTGCTCGTACCCAGGAAGCATTGGATGGGGAATGATGTGCAGTCTCATCCTGGGGGCTCCCTGCAGGGCTGGGGCCATGCAGCTGGTATGGTGTAGGCGTTGGTTACATAGAGCTGTGTTTGGTGCAAATGTACTTCAGCACTTCCTGTGCTTTCTCTGAACAGTGAGCATGTGCACTGGCAGAATGAGGTCTCAGCATAGGACCTCTCTTTTTGGAGTCAAAGCTTAAGATTTATACCCTGCTGTGTGTATCAGGCAACAGCAAACTTACGGCTCGTGCTCTGTTCCAGTGACTTGAATTAGTGAGCTTGGAGTTCTCTTCTGAACTGTGACCTCCTGGGCTGCCGGAGGCAGGACAACACTGCTATGAATTTCTTAACGAAATATAGAAAAACAAACATGAACAACAAAAAGTACAAGAACTAAAAGATCTATGAGTGGGTGGAAGAATAAACACACATGCTCAGATTTTTTTTTTTTTTTTTAAATGCCTGCAGAGTTGAAATGTTGTGAAATAACCAGAGCCCTTGGTGTGCTTTGCAGGATGAAGATGATCGGTGCTGTGCTGCTGGTGACGCTGCTGTGTGTGGTGCCCCTGGGCAGCGGCTCTGGTGAGTGCTCGCATGGCTTGTTTGCAGGGCTGAGGGTGGTGTAGGAAAACTGGCTGCAGCCCTTTGGAGTGTTTGTGTGGTTCCTAGGTGAAATGGCTGTGTGTAGAGTGCTTTGGCAAAATGCACATACACATGGGTTGGCTGCAGGGGTTGTGTAAGGCTCACACGCAGTGGCTGTGAGCACAGCGTAAATGGGTACGTAAGCAAACAGCAGCCAGCCCAGCCTCCGAGTAACGGTGCTTTGCAAATCTGAGCCCTCTGCTTGGTCAGCATTGTCATTCCCAGTCTGGAAGGGACAAAACCAGGCATGTGACAGCACCTTGTCACCGAGATACAGGCAGGACCTGGGTTCGAACCTAAAATTCGCTGTTCCTGCGTGGCTCTGGAGGGGGCTGAAGTTCTGGCTCTCAGCTTCTGACTCATGCCTCAGCAACGTGAGGGGAAAGGGGAACTTCTTGGGTAAGAGGAGCTCTTGCAGCCGTCTCACTGAGTCACTTTCCTGACAGGAAATATGCTGTCATGCTCGCGGCTCCCCTGGCACGCAGTCAGCCGGGCGCTGGTGAAGAGGCAGATTGTGTGTGCCTCAGCTCTGGGCTTCCTCCTCGGGGGAGGAAGGAGACAGCACGATCTGCAGAAGGCAAGGGGGAGGGAGGGGAGAAGGAACAAGCCGTGGCTTTGAGGGAACAAGGTTCAGAAAGAACCCTGGGGTTTTAACGGGCCCCACTGCAGCACTGGCAAAGGAGCAGATAAAACACCCTGTGCTGATAAACAGTTATTGGATGATTATAATCTTGTACATTCCTGAATGATTAGGGATGATTTCATAGTAGGTACTGCTGTGCAGAGGCTGAAGGCTTTTCTCTCTGGCTTACCTTAGGACTACAGGCCTGGGTCAGCTGCAGTCGTCAGTAGGGTTAGAGCCCTTGTAGAGTGTTACAAGGACGTAAGCATCAAAGGGTGATGCATGGGACATGTCCAGTTAAAGCACATTCCTTCAGCAAATCCACCATAGTGTTCATGTTTAATTTTCTGGAGGTCTGTGAATGGTGCAGAGTCCCCTTCTTCTTTGCATGTGTCTTAAACCACTTTGGGCTGTCAAAATGTGCACTGCTTCTGCTATTGGGCTTGCAGGACTCACTGTTTGGATGGAGGGCAGCCCTCTGTTATGCTATGTGGCTTGAAGCTGAAGCCCATTTCACCCTTGCAAAGCCACAAATAGTCTGTGGGAGGCTGGATGTACTCTGATAACAGTACAGCATTTGAGCTGTTTTATTCTTGGGGCCAGAGTAGTAGAATTTCAAGAGGGAACATGAGCTGGTATCCAAGCACTGCATAGCTGCAGGTGGGGCACTCATACCATGGCACTGCCTTCCTGGAATATTTAAGGTACATTCTGATGAAGCTTTTCAGGTACTGCGGTGCCCATCTTCAGGATGCTGTAGTGAATAGGAGCTGTCTGTGTGTGTATGGGTATGAACCATGCCTTGGCACCTCTGCAGGCTCAATTAGCATGGAGCTGAGCCCCAGCTAATGATGTGTATTAGGTTTGTTCCAGGGCATGATCTGCTTGGGAAAAATGGAAGGTAGGGAAGGTAATGACACAGTCTGGGCTAGAAACATCCTGAGAAGAGAAGGAAAGGTTTTATTGCTTCAGCTGGATGCCCAAGCCTGCTGCTTGCTCATGATGGGCGCATCTCTTCTGGTCTTTAAAGTATGTATGGTCTGCAATGCCTGGGTTTGAGTTCCTTAAATGTGATCTTTGGGATGCTTTGCAATGTTATTCAGGGTCTTCTGCTTTTCTTGTAGTAGATCTCTGTGCTTGTGTTGCAGTACGCTTAATGACCCAGGTGTTTTGATAGCCGAAGAAAGGGTGGGAAAACCCAGTAAACCAAATTTCGGTTTTGTAATGACTTCTTTGACATCATCATTGTGATGCAGATACACATTGGTTTTACATCTCTCTTTAAGCCAGTTGAAAAGCAAAACAGCCAGCATGAATATAAAATAATGTTACCCCTTTGTTCTCTTACACAGCTGGCCCATGTTAGATACTGACTTAACAGATAACTGGCGTGCATATTTAATCCTTCAGTGCCAGGAAGCAACCCCTTGCATAGGAAATTCCTCAAAAGCTGCTCTAGGGTTGTCAGGCAGGCTGCATGGCAGGGTGAGCCCAGCATGGGGTCAAATCCTGCATAGGCTGTGATGCCTGCAGCCATGGCTTTGTGCAGCCAGCATCCTTGTTCTGGCTTGGGAGGTCGATGCTGCCTCCTGCACCAGCTCTTGAGCTCCCATTTCTGCACTGAGCAGTTACTAGTGGCCAGGGGAAATTTGCAGATTAATAAATTACTGTCTGTAAAACACTTTGAAGATGGAAAGCGCTGTGCAGCTCCTCAGGATTATTACTATATCGCTCTTATTCTACTGATGAGGTTCCAGTGGCCTTATTTTCCTTATGATTTGTGACAGCCCCAGAAGCTGAGGAGCTTATTTTAGTGTGTAGAGTCAAAAGAAAAATAGATTAAACTGCATTATTGTCTTCTAAAGAGACTAAATCCCTCTCCCACCATCTTCTCCTGGGATTTCCTGACTTCCTCCTACTCTTCCATCTCAGCTTCTAGCTGTCCTAATTCAGGAGGTGATTTTATAACCATGCATACCAGTTTGAGTTACTGCAGTTATGGATTTTTATGGTACCTGTGTGCATGAAGTGGTGTGATGCTGAGGTTGCATGGCCCTGAAGTGGAGGCAAATGCTGTGAAACAGAGGTGTGCAGGGTAAGGGCGCATAGCATCAGCCTTCATCCTCCCCCTGCACAGCCTGAGCCATGTCAGGAGAGTGGAGAAAAGCTTGCTTCTGCTTGGCTGCAGGGGGGTGGTGAGGGGCAAATCTTGTGCAAGTGGCTCACTTTACATTCTGCACAATGTGCAAAATCTGTGGAAGAAAAGAGGGGACTCATTTGGGGAGTGTCACTAGGATGGTGTTCAATAGTCACTTTTGCACTGATGGTGTGGTATCTTTTACCCTGGCTCAATGCTATAATGAGGCTGCACAGCTTTAATTCCATGAGTCCATGGCAGAGCTAGGAGCTGGGCCTGGACCTGAAGTCCCAGGCGTGTGGAAGACCCCCTACCAGCTCAGATCCAGCTTTGTCATGGCACTAATAAACATGCAGACACCTCTTTGTGCTGCTTTTCCTATGGATACCTTTGCAACAGGCTGTCCTGTTTCCTCTCTCTCTTCCTCTGCTTTACGCAGCAATTCCCTGAATGAAGTGAGATGGAAAGTAGCTATTTGCCTCTCCTTCAGGCTTTGAAGCAGTTCATACCCTACCTTCATTGTTTTGATCTCGTGGGTTTCCTCCAGGAAAACATGTCAAGCTTGCTAGAGAAAGCCAAATGCTTTGTTTTTTTTTTTGTATTCAGTTGCTGGAGGTAACCAAAATACTCTGCCACATTCAGTAAGCACAGCTTTAATCACAGGTAGGGCAGGCATAGAGCTGCTGTGCAGGAGATTTAAAACAAACAACAGCTACTCCTCTGTGTTACAGACTGTGCATGGCTGGGTCAGGATGCTCCAATTCAGGAGCAGTGGGCTCCATTATGGGTTGATCACTTCTCTTTGAGCTAGGCTTTCAGAATCTAAAGTGAAACATGCTGTGTAAGTGCTTTTGGACAACTTGAATAGTATATTCCAAGGAGTTTTTTTTTTTTAAATTTATTTTATTTCCTTTTTCCTTTCTTGTCTGTTCTGCCTATTGAAATGATAACCATTCGGAGAAAGATGCTGCTCCATCCTCAGCACCCTCTGGAGATGCTTCCATGAGGGCACCACAGCAGTGCCAGATGAGCACTGGGAGATGTGGTTAACGTGAGCCCTTCCAATTCCCACTGATTTCAGTGCGTTTGGATCTGCTTGGGGAGATCAGTCATTTGCTGTGCTCTGCGCCACCCTCCCTCCGCTACGTTGCACCATCAGGTGGGGTACGAGCCAAGTGGGAGTCACTTTCCTGCTATGCCACTGTGTTTCTCAGCTGCGGAACCCCCCTCTATAGCAGAGAGTGCCGCTGTGCGATGCTCTTGTGCAGGATGCGTGTGTGAAAGCAGAACTGCAGACCCAGTGGAGATGTGGGTGCTCCTGGCACTGGTGTGCATAGAAAGAGCTCCCACGCGTGGCAGCTGGCCACAGCTGGCACCGCCAGTGCTCTCAGAGTAGCTCCTCCATTCAGCCTGACTTCCTCTGCTTCCCACTCACTGCAAACTGCTGTGCGCCTGAAAGAGGGTGGGGGAGGCTTTTTTTTTTTTTTTTTTTTTAAGGTGGCAATGATTAATTCTCAGTTAATTGCTTTCCTGGGCCAGCTTTCTGCCTCATTGATGCTGACGCTTGTGTCAAGCTAACTGCTGGTTTGGCTGCCCTCCACGCGCGGAGGTGAGAATGGATCAGCTTTGCCTAAAGATAGTACTGCAGAAGAAGGCAGAAAGCTGTAGGGTGCTGCAGCCCCATCCTTTATTCCTGTGAGGGGAAGAGCATCTCCCAAGTGGCAGCCCTGCTCTGCACGTTGGGCTGGCCCCCTCCTGCAGATTAGAGACTGATTTGGCAAGTGGCAGAGTAATTAGTGTGGGCATGATGGATGCCCTGTCATCAGAGTGGTTCTTTACAACTTCTGTGAAGAAATAACTAGTGGAAGCCTTTTGTTCATAGCCCCAGGGAAGGGGAAGGGAGAGATGGGGTGGAGGTGGTGTGAAGCTGGTAAAGTTCATTGCTGGAGAATTTTCCTTTAAATGGAGGTGCTGTGAGTATACTTGAAATGACTGCGTAGAACTGCTGAACAGGGAAAAGGAATAGCACTTCTTGGTGTGGTTTTACTCTCCTTTTGTTATTTTTTGTTTTTATTCGCATGTTCAGTAGTCTGTGTCACCTTGAAAATCCAAATAATTGCACTGATTTTGTGTTCTAATAGGTGCTGCAGATGCATCTCAGAAGGCAGCATTTCAGATGGGTGCTTTCAGTTCCGTTCCCAAGGAGTGAATGGCTGCAGTAAATTAAGGGTTGGAAAGGTTTCCAAAAGTGTGCTCACTTCTATGCAGCCAAGCAACATCATTAGTTTTCTCTCCTTTCATTTTCTGCTTTGCATCTGGAGAAGCTGCTTTCTTTGGCTTCTGGAGAGGAGTCTGTTTTGGGATGCCTGATGTTTAAGCAGCAGATTCAGAAGTGGGACAGCTCAGTTTCTCTAACAGGAGAAGCTGCTGTACAGCAGTAGATACATCCCATGAGCATGAGCTGAAACACAGCCCAAGCAAGGAAGATATTTGGAGCTAACTTCTCATTCACCTGCAAGTGCACCCATCACTTTGCTGGGTTTCCATTTGTCAAGTGAAGCTCTGAAGTCAGCGTGAGTGCTGCTCCCACTTGATTTTATCAGGAGCTGCTCTTAACCCCAGCAGTTTAGTATAGTGTAGGAAATGTTTTAAGAGAGAAGAAACTCGCTTCCTAGATCTAGCTAGTAAGGATAAGTGTGAATGGGTGCAAACTGACACAGCAGTGTTCGAGTTCAGGCTGCTTCCAATAACTAGAGCTGAGTTCTTTTATATTTCCTGCATGTTCTTTTCATGATGCCCTCTTGAATACCATTACTAGAGTCAGGATCTATCAGTATATGTATGTGTATGTATCAGCGTATGAATGTATGTTTATCAGTAAGAGCTGAGGTACAGTGTGATGTCCTGACATTTTGAGCTGCCTCCAGTGTTGACTGACCTCCAAGCATCTGCATACTGTATAAGCAGCAAACAGGTTCTGAATCTCCATTGTGGGTTAAACAGTGGATAGGGTGTGAAACATTAGGGTGCCCCAAAATGGAAATGCCAGTACTACTGACAGCATGGCACAGGGAGGAGGGAAGTTGTGTGGAGCACCACAACTTGTAGCCTTGGTCTGCATGTGAAGGAGGTCTCACTCAGCCTGTGCTGTTTGATATTGCTGCTGTGAGCAATGCGTGATGGCACTGCTCTGTGAGGGCAGTGCTGCAGGGCACACCTAAACATGACCTGCGTGGTGTGATGGAATCCCTGAGGTCATTTGAATCGGCCAAAAATCCCTTTGTGCCACTCTTACAGTAAAGGACAACAGATTTTTTCCTCTCTCAACTGAAAAAAACAAGGCCCATACGATGATGTATTTTTTCCTTCCCCTGCATTACTCAAAAGCAATGTATTTTATTTTCGTTTACTCATTCAGTTAGAACGGGTAAGTAGCTTTACAATGCTGATTTATGAACTCTTGCAAAACATAAGAGCTGGTCACGATTGCAAAATTCATTGATCTTTACTCCACGAATTTCAGTACTGTAATTTTTTTATATAGTTTCCTTCCTCTCCAGCCTTGCCTTTTGAAGTAATGAGGACAATTTTCCATTTTGCAGCCCATGAGGACACTGCAAAGTCAGGTGCAGGAAAGAGAACCCCGTGACCTGATGTACAGTCCCAGGTCTGCAGGGAGACCTCGTTCCTTTTGAAGGGAGAGGCTTTTTGTATGAAAACAAATGTGAATGGTAATGAAAGCTTTGTCCTGCAATTGGCAGACAGTCAGTGGCAGGCTCATTTGTCTTGTTTACTGCTCCGTGGAAGCTTGACCTAAAACAGCAGCTTAACCAGCGAGATCCAGCATACTGGTTCCAGTTGGTTTCCAGGTTGTTTTCTACTGTGGTGGAGATGGGTGACCATGCATGGTCTAAGGCTTCCAATGCTCATTTTGGTCTCTCAAAATGATTCTTGTCTCTGGCTGCAATAGCTGCGATCCTGCCTGGTGTTTAGTTTTGAAAGAAGTACCTGTGTGTTAGAGGTGATGGGTTATGGCACTCTCCAGTGCTTGGGGTTTGGGTTTCCTAATACCTGGGCTCTCGTTAGTCTCACCACCTCCTGCCAGCCCGTTTTGCTCTTTGTCCAAACACCCCAGGAGGAGCAGTGCAGTTTGCATTTACATGATGTATGAAACAGCCAGAAAACATTTCTATTCTTATTGGCCCAGATTTTGCCTCCCCATGACTAACCATCACTGAGCCACGAGTTAGTGGAGCTGCCTTAAAGCGCTGTGGGGCTGTCTTCTCAAAGGTTCCTCTCTTTGCTTTTTTTTTTTTTTTTAATTAACTATGAATTTGGGGCCAAGCTACATCCCACTGTCTATTTAAGGAAGATAAAATGCCAGAAATCCTGCTTTGGGCCTGTGAAGTCAGTTCAGAAGAATTGGGCTCAAAGAGCATATTGTATTCTGTTTTTTCCTCTCTGTCCAAGTTCCTCTAATATCTGTGAACTAGAGAAGCTTTGCAGTGCTGACTCTGAGGTGGATGCTGTGTGCTGCAATGCCTGTCCTGGGGCAGCTGCAGGCAGCACCCCTATCTGTTGGACTCATTTAGGACTCTTGAGATGTCAGGCTGCCCTGACATCTAATGCTTCCTGGCTGCTGCAGGGAGTGCGAGGGCAGCACGCTGTGCATTCTCTGCCCTGGCAGCATGGACAGTGAAGGCTGCTCTCAGGTTAGCTGGCGCCTTGTTTTGCTTGCTCTGTGTCTCTTTGTGACAGGGCATCCTTCTAGGTGGGAGGAATATGGTGAAAAGGAGCTTATGGAGGATAAACGGATGGCGAGTGTGCTGTTTGTCCTGATCCTGTTCACTGGAAGCAATAAATAAAAAAAAAAAAAACCCTAAGAAAAAAATCACCTTAGAGCTGCTTTTTATTGCTGCTTAATTTCTGTCAGTCTGAGTCTGCCTGGAGCTGTGCTGATCCTTGTGGATGGTACTTGGGGGATGCACCGGGAGCTGTTTTGTGATCCCCAAGTGAACTTCCTGCTGTCTCCTCATCGCTGGCTCCCCAGCTCCCTCACGCTCCCTTCCTAGACTTTGCAATAAAGAGTCACTATGTGTCACTTGGTAGTGTTTGTACTCAGCATAACATGCGAAGAGGTCACACAAATCCACAGCAGAAAAGATAGTCCTCATTCCTAGCTGCCTTAGTCCAGGTTTCTCTTGCAGGGCAATGGTCCCTATCTCTACGGACAGGATTAACATCTGCAGTGTTCAGTTTTCTCTAGTTCAGGCACCTCTGTTCAAACAGACACCTCTGGGATTGTTTTCACCCACAGCTTATCTTCCCATTGCAGTAATGTTTAAGGTTGAGCTTTCCTGGAGCTCTCCGGGAAGCCTGGTAACAACAGTATCCTGCCATATCTATCTGCCATCAGGACAATACATCGTGAGAATCAGGAAAGTATAGGAAATGTATGAAGGAAGGTAGATGTTTACAGCTTCTCAAGAGCTGAACACTATATTCTTGATGTGCTTTGTGAAAGCCAAGTTTGCTTTCACCTGAAAAAAATGGATTTTTCTGCCTCTCATTTTGGTGGAGGACCAAGGATGTAGGGAGTGGGTGCAGAACTGTTTTTCTTCTGTAGCTTTGCAAGCTGAGGCACTTTGTTCTTTGTGGTTGTAGAACGTTGTGATGACTGGGGTGTGGATACCATGAAACAGATCCAGATTTACGATGGGGAACCCGCCAAGATCAAATGCCCACTTTTTGAGACCTTCTTGAAGTACAACTACAGCACAGCTCATTCTGCTGGCCTAACCCTGATCTGGTACAGGATTGGGCAGGACCGAGATCTGGAGGAGCCTATTAACTTTCGTCTCCCGGATAACCGCATCAGTAAGGAGAAAGACACCCTTTGGTTCTGGCCCGCTCTCCTCAATGACACTGGGAATTACACGTGCATGCTCAGGTAGGTTGTGTGGCACAGCCTCTGTAATCGCAGGACTTTTGTGGAAGCACGAGGGCCGTGCTGTTAGTGGTGGATCTTTCTGTAGAGAGAAGAGTGTTTATATAAGCATTAATGGGAAAAGAATGTTAGGATTATAAGGCCACTCAGCACTGAGCCAATTTACATTGTAATAATGCCTGGAGCCTTGCAAGCATTAATGAACATGCCTCTTCTTACTAACTACAAGTGTCCCTGAAAGTATTATTGCTGAGCCCGTGGCAAAATCCATAGGCACTCACCATTAAGAAGTGATCTGTATGTCTAGAGTAAAAATAGCTTCAGATGCAAGGGTGATGTTTTGACTGCATGATAATTTGGCAAAGATTCATGAGATCCAGACTTCTAGGAAATTAGAAGTGTCTCTAAGTGTGGTACAAAATGAACACAGCAGCTGCTTTGCACTGAGCTCAGGGGCTCTTTCTGATCTTCCTTGTGTTATCTCATGTTCATTCTGTCTTTGATGCTGTTATCTGCTCTACCAGCAGGAGAGTGTATGTTGCTTATTAGTCATGTTTATGGGCTTTTCTGAGGTGGTGTGTCCATCTCTGGAGCTTCCATTCACATATGTACATGAGTCAGCTAAGGCTGTATATGCTTCATCAAAATGGTGCAGCCAACAATGATTGCAGATGTGATCTTTATTTCATTACCCTGCTATAGGAGGAAGCTAGTCTTGTCTAATCAGCCCTCTCCTCCTCTGTCCTTAGAAACACAACTTACTGCAGCAAAGTTGCCTTTCCTTTGGAGGTTGTTCCAAAAGACCAAGGCTCTTGTGTGAGCCATTCAATAAAACCTGTTGAGCAGATGTTCTACCTGGAGTATGCTAATGAAAAGATCGTATGTCCAGACATTGATGGGTTTTACCCTGCTAGTGTAACACCAACTATCAAGTGGTACCAGGTGAGAAGCACTTTTGTCATTATTTGGGCAGAGGGGGGACTTGGTGTTGTATCTGAAAAAGCAGTGTGTGAGGTGAGAACCACGGAGCTGTATTTCAGTCTGTCCAGTGATTGAACTGTTAATGTTACTAAAGCTATAGTTAGAGCTTTGTTTGCATTGAGTTCAAGGATAAAACTGTCTTTGGATACGAGAACAAACACTGATATTATATATGTATATGTGTGTGTATATATATGTCTATTTTGATTTGTGTGTATAAGTGGAGAAGACTAAAGTAAGGGATTTGGGAACTTCAGCTGGTACTATGCCTGACCTACATGGCAGGCAAATTACTATTCCTGTAAACAAAATCATGACTTTGTTCCCTTTTTACTAAAATAAGGATAAAAAACATTTTGTAAGCTAAGGAGAAAAACCTCTCCTCCAAAATCTCATGAGGTCAGGGAATGAAGTTGTGGAGTGGGACTCTTCAAGGACCACAGATGCTATTTGCCACAAATTGGCAAACCTCTTTTCTAAAGATGGAGACATCCCTATTCCATTCCACTCTGATAGTCAGGCTGTTTCCAGCCATCCTCAGGCTCATGCCTACATAACTACTGCTAAATCGTATTAAATTTTTACTTCAGTATTTTTCCTTAGATGGATGTCTTTCGTCAAGAGAGAGTAAGGAATTCTCAGGGGATGCTTAGCTAGGGGGCTGTGCTACTGAATTCTTTAACAGCTTGTAAAGCACTTCCAAATTTCAAGGTAGAAGGCACTACATGAGTGAATTTAATAGTAAAGAAAGTTGGCAGTGGGTATCTGCTGTTTAAAAGAAAAAATTAAAAATTTAAAGAATATCCAGCTCTGAAATCCTTCAGGAAAAGCTTGCTTTTGTGGCCAAGAGGAACAGTTTCATTCTGATAGTTGAAATGTCTTACTTGTACTGCTCATTGAAATTCACATTTCAACAATCAATTAGGAGGATGAAACACAAAGCCCCATGGAAATCATTTTTCAGGCAGCAAGTCATCCCATGCCTAATAAAAAACACTAAAAATGGTATATGACCCCTGTCTTAAATTGCCCCATTAGGATCTATCTCATTGGGAAATGCACCATTCAGAAATAATCTCTTTAAAAATGTGCATATCTTTGGGTTTTATGATAATGAAGATATCATCTGCTTAACTGCTTCCTGAAAAGGGCTCTCTAGGTTGGTACTTGGCTGAGGTTTCCTGCCTCACCTGGCAGAGAGAGAAGAGTTACTAAACTTTTTGTATTATAGATTCTCGTTTGCCATTTGCCAATTCTGGGGCCTCATCGACAATTGATGTCAGTCAGGGCAGCATGATTAGTCCTGAAAGCGTTAGAGATGCTGACATCAACTGGGGGACATGTCCTTTACTCTTGGTATCCGTTTGTGAATACATCATCGTTTTTCTCCTTGTATGTTTTTACTTCACTTTGCAGAGGTGTTCACCTTGATTGCAAATGCACTTCTAGATCAGAGCTATATATGTCTTTGAAATTGTTTGTGTTTGAGGTGGGATAAAGCTATTAGGATCATCTGCTTCATCACCTCTTTTTCGAGGTTAATAAACCAGTTTGCATTCCAGTATTCTCAGGGTTCGTGGCGTTTAGGCCTGAGCTGCATCAGATACCCAAGTCTCGCATCATGTTTATAGTTTCAAAAAAAATATTTGTAGTGGGATTTAAACCAAGAACTTTCTGGGTCCCAAAACACAAGTGCTTTTTCTGCCTGACTCTAGTCTTGCAGGTTAGTGGATGGCTTCAATGAACGACATCCTCAAGGGTCCAAGCTTGTCATTGGCGTTGTCCGCAGCGCATATGAAGGGAATTACACCTGCATTGTGACATTCAAGGACCATGGAAGAACATATAATCTCACCAGAACCGTAAAGATGAAGGTGGTAGGTAAGAATGACTTCAAAAAGTATAAGCTGCAGGTGGATAACAGCAGAAGTGGTGAAAACCGCTCAAGTCTGTCACGGGATCTGTTTGTGGTTGTGTTCAGTCTGTGTTACCCAGCTGACTTGTTACTGCTGTATTTTGGCTTGCTGGGGTCAGCCTTCCCTGACTGTCCAGGGCATGCTGTGTTGGAAGCGCCACTCACTACCATGTCAAATACCCCCAAAGGAACACCAAGGGTAACCAGGCTTTGGCTGATGAGATACAGCCCATGAGGTGGTCAGGGGTACCCTCTGCTGGCACATGAGTGCATAACCCTGACGCTCATTTTTGTCTCCAGTGCCCTCTGCTCATCATTATTTATGGGATTGTCCAATCATAGCCTGCTTGTTCCAATCCCCCTGCAATCTCAAAGCCTTTGTGCTGAGCTAGAATGATTTTTCATGGATGGGATTTCAGCTGTCCGTGCCAGTGCATGGGCAAGTCTGCACTTATAGGCAAGTGTTTGGCCTACCTGCCAGTGAGTTGTAGATGGAGCTGAAAAACCAAGTGAGCATAGAGCAAATTCTGAGTGCAAAGACAATGACAGCTTTAAGTGCATGATTAAATGCCTATGATGAGAGTTGATGTTGACATCTTATTTTTTTTTTTAGGAACAGAAATAAAAAGAATTTCTGGTATAGGTTGTACTTCATGGAAGATGCTGAGTCTCAGGGGACATGGAGCTCTTCAGATGTGGGGGGCCCTGAACCTTGAATCTAGACATATCTAAACTTCGAAGGAGCCTCAAAATCTGCATCTGGCACTGTCTGGGGACTAGGACTAGATTTCCCTTTGCTTGAAATTCTGCATTAGGATCGCATCACAAATTAGATAGCACCATATGTACCAGGGCAGGGGGGCATTGTGAGTAAAGCTGCAGGGGCTTCTCTGTTCTCTCCCACAGGATCTCCAAACAAGGCCTTGCCACCGCAGTTCACCTCCCCAAATGAAAAAGTTGTCTACGAACTGGAAGCAGGTAAATGGCAATACCTACCATCCCTAGGGGACAGGGATGCACGGCCAGCCAGACTCTCCTCTCCCTCTGCTTTCCCAGTGCTTCCCTTCACTGAGCAGAGCAGCTGCCACAAGCTGTCTGGCAGATGGTTAGGGGTGCTAGTTCTCCATGGCAGAATAGGAGGGCATAGCTTTAAAGTTAATTTGTGCACACAGATTTTACTTCATTTTTTAATATTCAGGCATGGAGATAGAGGACTCCAGCGAACTGGAGCAGCTGCAGAAACAGATGAAATGAGAGCTCTTAGTTACTTAGAGCAATTCCTGTAGGACTTTGTGTCAGTCCTGACCCTGGCTGTGGTTTGTTCCAACCCTCCCTCATTCAGTGCCTTTGTGGCTTCTGCCTTCTGGCCACTTCTTTGCTCATCTCCTCTCCCTCTGGTTACTTCCTAATTAATGACAGCTCTCCATTTGCTGGCCTTACAGTATTGTGTAGTGGGATATTACACCACTTCCTCTACTCCATCTGTTTAGACTGATAGCTCTTTGGAGCAGTTCCCTATGCTGAATGGATTGTGTCCCATTACACTGCTGTAATAAATGTCATGCCAATGGTGATGATTACCAGCAGTCTTCACTCTAAAGCACTACTGAGCTCAGAAGATCAGGCTTCTGCCACACTCTGTGAGACTTGTGGGCAGACCATAACAATATTCAGGCTTCCAAGTCTGATCTGGAAGGGAAGTGGAGTGCCTGAAGGATTGTTTCCGCACCAAAATTCTTCTCTTTAAGGTCACTGTCCCCTGTGCAGTTGGAATGCTTAACACTGCCAAGGTTTCCAAGAAGTGGTTGGCGTGGAGCAGCTCTATTTGAGTCACTTGGTGCAGTCAGGGAATTTCTGGAGTATTTAGGAAAGCAGGATTTTTTTTTCCTGTTTATTCATGTCACAAGTCAACATGTCCAGGGTATTAAACAGACATCAAATGTCTGAAAGTGTGTGTTTATCTTTTTGCTTCCTAAAGGGAGGCAGAGTTTAGTCTGATAGGGCCACTGGAAAGCTCAGTGTGGTGCTACCTGTGCTTTGTAATACTTCACTGTGGCCATTTCTTCCCAGGAGATGATCTTGTTTTGCCCTGTGAGGTCTTTTTCACCTTTCTGAAGGACTCTCGGACTGAGGTGTGGTGGACTGTAGATGGGAAGAACACAGATGACATCATGGATGCCAAAGTCACACAAAGGTAACACTTGGTTTGTCTAACTCTGACCTGGGTCCTGCAAAGGGGTACGGGTGCAGGTGGCAGTACCATAGCCCTGCTAGAAATGTCTGTAGCATATATGTGGCTTTTTCAATCACGAGGGAAGTCTGTAGGCAGATGGTTCAAGGTAAGAAGTGTCAGATCTCCTAAGATCCCATTGCTCTTACATTTCTACTGCAGATACTGGGGCCAAATACTAGTCTAATTTTTCTCTTGCAAGGAAAGGAGTGTGGATCTCCACCTTCCCCCTCGGTCAGGAAGCAGTGTGTCTGCTCTGTGCTGCAGTGAGCTCCAGGGAGACGTCATTTAAACATGTACCTTGCTTTATAGAAAGGATTGTGGGAGCTTTGTCTCCCATTTCTCATCATCACCTGTTCAGATTCTACTACCAGTATAAACAGCTGATGGTACTGTGAGATTTCAGAAACAGGCAGACACAGATTTGTTTAGAGGAATGCTGTGAAATAGCTTAAATGACAAAATTTTTCAAGCGATAGAGGCTGAAAACAAATGATAGTGTTATGCATAGTATTGATTAGGAGGAATGCAGAGAGATTCAATTATGTGAAGAATCCAAATGAGGCTCAGAGACTTGTTTACTGGGTGTTGAATTAGATATAGAAGGCTACCTGATTGGTTTGCAAACCATTGTAGAAGATAGAAAGGCAAAAGGAAATAGCTGCAAAATGAGAATAACAGTAAGTTCAGGCAGAGAGAGACTTCAAAGTGACTTATCCAGGGTTGCACAGGGAAAGTGGAGTGGAGTTGGAATCCTGAGTTCATGGGATCTATTGCTTTGTAGACAATAACTTTTTTTTTCTTTCTAACATAAATCAACACATCTGCAGTGGGGAAAAATGAGTGAGTGACTGAATGGCAGAACTCAGAGGGCAGTGATCAGCTGGTGGTCTAGATGGCAGGCAGAAAGCAGTGTCCCCCAGGGATCAGTACTGGGTTCAGTCTTCTGCAATTTACTCATCAGTGACCTGGATGAAGGTCTAAGTGTTCAAGTATGTAATGCTCTAGTTTTCCTCTTGCAGCGAAATTCCTAGAAGTTTTGAAGACAAAACTATCATAAGGACTCTAACAGTTGCAAAAGCCACACCAGAGGACTTGAAACGCAATTACACTTGCTATGCCAGAAATGCCAGAGGGGAAGGCCATAGCCAGGCCATAGTGCGCATGAAAGGTAAAGTACTTGCAGAGCATGGTGATGAATTGAGGTACATTCACACTGGGCTGTCCATCCTGCCTTAAGCCTTGCCCTGCAAAACAGTAGGGGAACGATTATTTCATTCAGGCTTTTTTTTCCAACACACACTACTCTTTATGCATAGATGTATTATAGCTGCTGATATTACATTTGGTGGTGGAGATCAAAATATGCATGTCTCATATGCCTGTGCCATGGTCTACTGGCTGGTGAGAAAGAGAGGGGTAGAACCTTTCTCACACCATCCGTGTACTACAGCTGATGTATACTCAAGTTGATGCAAACTGGGTGGTTTGAAATGTTTTCAGATTAGTTGTTTGTGTGAGACTTGCTGCCTGCTGGCATCCTGCAGAAGGGGCACTGCACTCTGACATTACATGAGAAGTGAGGTGATCTGACCACGGTGCTCTGTGATTTTACTCTTTGTTGTGATAATGCTCCAATCTAGATACAACCACCTCAGTGTGGTAGGTATGGACTGTTCAAGCTTTATTCAGAGCGCATTTTTTTCCTACATCTTTTTTCTTCAAAGGTATTTCTTCCTATTTCACAGACCCACCTTTCAGTAATAAGTACTGCGCCTTTAGTATAGGTATATAAGTTTTCATGAGTAAGTGGATATTCTGCTGCTTTATCAACCTCATCTAGAGCTTCAGTACAGCTTGCTGTAGAACAGACCCTCACCTCCCTTCTCTCGTATGAGATTCTGGTCTGCCTTGTGGAGATTATGCTAGACACATTCTTCCTCCCACTTTTCCCTGTTAGGATGAGAAAGCTCACAGAGATCTATTCTAGAACAGTTCTTTCTCTTCTTTCTTAGTCTCTGTCCTCTTTCATTTTTAGTCCCATTCATTTGAAATGAACCTTTTCTGGATCACTAGGAAGGAACAATAGACCAAACAGAACTGAAAGACTGAGGCCATCTGCTAGTGCATTTACCCTGAATAATTCTTCTGTGATGATAATGATTGTATATGTAGCAGCCTTCAAATTCTTTCCCTAGACAGCAGTGCCTAAGTGCTGTATCTAGTGAACTGGTCTGCTCTATCCTCTTCCTCCCACGTTTGCTCCTGCAGCAGTTGAGTGGGTTTGCTCTGAGCAGATTTGGTTACTCACAACCCCTCCTTTCTGCTCTGTTCCACAGAAACTTGCAAGATTCGGCCTCAAGCACTGCTGGCAGAACAACCTTGAACTAAGCTCACTGCAGACCATTCTACTGGGCATAGGAATACCAGGCATCCTAGAACCTAACCCCTTTCCACTTACCTTCCAGTTTTTAGCAAGTAGTTGTATATGTTGGCTGCAGCTATTTCATTACGTTAGGTTATATAAATTTCCTGATTTTTTTTTTTTTTTTTTTTCCTGGATGCTTTCCCTTCTTTTCCTTGTACTTCTGCTGCTCATCACCTAATGAAACTTGTTAAATTCCTTGCGTTTTCTCTTTGGTAATTAAGTTTCCAATAAAATTTAATAGATCTTGAAATTTGGTGATGCTTCCATTCACTGCTCATATCATGCAGTTTGCCAGCATGCATATGAGCTGCCACATGAGTCACTATTTAAAAAAAAAAAAAAAGTTGTCCAGGATTGCAGCTTTTTCTGCCCATAACACAAAGAAGCAGCAGCATCCTGACAGATACCATATGAATTGGAAGGGAGGCTGTGTTCTTTTTTTGTTGCTCACAGGGTTGTCTTTGTTTGCAAACGCTTCAGCTTTTCTGATATGAACTGATTCTTCCTTTGTGATAGGAAACGGTCAGGTCAAGGCTAGTTATATCCTTTTTGTCATTCTGGGCTGCGATATGAGAACTGTGGGTGTGTGATGGGGAGGGAAAGTAGTGGCCTTTATGTTGTTGCAGGTGAGCTTTGGCTGACTCTTCTAGAAGTATGTGTTGCCCAAAGAGGTTGCATATCCTGGCTTTGGGCTATGCAAGTGATTTCCATCTATGGGTCTGCTGTCACGTGTCCCGCCAGACAAGCTTTGGTTTGGCCACTTTTGTCTGAAGGGCCAGCTTGGCTCTTGGCTTTTATTTCCCAGTGTTCCTCTGCATCATTTGACTACATATAGCACATGCTTGATCCTGCTTAGCTGAAGGTGCAGCCCATTTGGTAAACCTGGCCTCTTGTTCTTTTTTGCATCCAGTTGCAGCACCGAAGTACACTGTGGAGCTGGCCTGTGGACTGGGAGCAACCATCCTGCTCGTCGTGGTGCTGATCGTCATCTATCATGTTTATTGGCTTGAAATGGTCCTCTTCTATCGAGCTCATTTTGGAACAGATGAAACCATTCTAGGTAAAGAGTTAAAAGGCTTGTTTTATAAGTAAATGCCTGGCTTCGCTGATTCTATGCAGGGATTCTCAAATCAGGAGCTATTTGCTTTAAAATGTGGGAAGGCATCCAAAAGGATGAGATGATTAAGCATCCTTCTTCCTTAGTATGACCACATCTTCCCTGTGTTACTGGGAATTTCTCTTTGTGGTGATGTTGCTGCAGTCTTTTGTCTTCAGCAGCCCAATGGTGTCTGGGTACCTTCACATTCAGCCTGGGCAATCAGAGGCAGCATTGCTGCCTTAGAGTTACGGAAATTGATGTCTTGACCTGGGCTCAAATCGATTATATATATCAATTATATAATTTATATTTACTTTCCCCTTAAGAAAATCAAAGACTCAGCATGCGCAGTATCACAAGTGTTTCTTCTGCTGTTTGTGTTTCTCTGCACTCTCTCAATGCTCAGATGGGAAGGAGTACGATGTGTATGTCTCCTATGCACGCAACGCGGAGGAGGAAGAATTTGTGCTGCTGACACTGCGAGGAGTCCTGGAAAATGAGTTTGGGTACAAGCTGTGTATCTTCGACAGAGACAGCCTCCCTGGGGGAAGTGAGTACTTCACAGGGGCCTGTGAAGCTCCTCTTCTTTCTTGGTTCTTTGAGGTACTGATCATAAACTCATAGAATGAGTGGCTTGGGTTGGAGGGGACCTTAAAGATCAAGTTCCAGTCCCCCTGCAGGGGTAACTGATAAGAGCTGGTCATTCCAGACTAGCTATTATCCTCCCCCTCTCCAAGAACAATCTTTTGTTGGTATCTTCTAATGTTTTTGCTGCATGTGACAATGTCACAGATGTCCACAAAAGATTTTCTGATGGCCTGGAACAAGCGGTGGCTGTGGTCATTTCACTTGCTTTCTCCAAGAGTGATATGTGGGAGTAGTTGATTTATCAGCAGAGGAAACATCCACTGACATTCACACAACCTCTGAGCTGCTTTAGGAAAGGGGGATAAAGTCAAGGCTTTAAAAAATAAGTAAATAGAGAAGTGTGATGCTGGACTGGGGCTGCTAGCTCACATAGGGCATTAGTGAATGCCTGGAAGAACCTGCAGAGCCTGCTTCAGGGAGATGTGGAGTGTGCCCTGCCAGCATCTCTGAGATGAAAACATGCCCTCCCAGGAGGCCTGCTACCCACCTTCATGAATTAGAAAATCTGTGTCTAACATAGCATAAAAATTAGTTGTTATGGTTAAGAATTTCTTGTTGCATGTAGGATGCAGAAAGTCACCCAGAATGGAAGTTTGTGAAACTGGCACTGACAGAGCATCTTCCACCTCTCAGCTGCCTAAGATTGCTGTGGGCCAGAAGCATACTCACCAACTTTATGTCACTCTTTCCTCTGGAGAGTTTCATTTTCTTTCCAGCAGAGCAGTCCTGAGCTCCCTTGCCCTTCACCATCACTAAAAGTGCTCCTATCCCAGCTCACTGCCACTACCAGCCTCAATCCAGCGAGCTCTGAGGACCAGCCCAGCTGAGGTCTATCTTGCTGGCTCATGGCTGCAATTAGCAATGCTGCTGGATCCTCCCCACTGCTTCTGAGCTAGGATTTGACTTATCTTCTTGAGGAAGCACAGCAGACCAGGAAATAGCTTGTGGCAGCTGGTGCCATGCCTCTGGAGTGTACATCTGTGTTGCTGGGAGACTTATGTTGTCCTTGGTGAAGGAACAGTAGGAGATTGATTATCCTATGACTTTGCTGACAGGAACTAATCAAATGTGCTTGACAGCTAAATGAAGTTGCCTGTCAGTGTTATTTTATTCTCCATTGTGTTTTCTGACCACTCAAGAACATTCTGTTGACAGTGCAGTGTGGGACACCCCGTAGCAGAGAGAGCAAGCACTGGGATTTGTGCTTACAGGGGATTTTCACATTAATTACAGAAAGGTGGCTAAGGACCATCTACATGCAGGTTTAGAAAATCAAAGATGATCCACAGTTACCATGGTATTTGTCATTTTTGGACGCATCACTAAAAGTCCTCTGAATAGTTTACATGTCACTTTTAGCAACACTGAGATCTACTTTCATCAATGGTAGCAACAGGAACAACTAGTGTAAAGTCTGTTGATATAACAGTATTTCCAAAGTACATGAACCCACAAGAAACATAGAGGTTCCTCTATTGGACCATGTGCTAGGAGTTCTTGCAGAACTTGAGAATCACCAGCATGGTCTATGGAAAGGGCATCTGAAGTATTTCATCATCCCCTTCTAAAAGCTATGTGGAATCACATGAGCAGTTCAGCAGCCTGTTCTCAGCCATCACTAACCACCCTGATGTTTCTTTCTCCCAGTTGTCACAGACGAAACCCTGAGCTTCATCCAGAAAAGCCAACGTCTGCTTGTTGTCCTGAGCCCCAACTACGTCATGCAGGGGACACAGGCCCTGCTGGAGCTCAAGGCTGGTCTAGAGAATATGGCCTCCAAGGGCAACATCAAAGTTATTCTAGTGCAGTACAAAGTCATCAAGAAGAGCAAAGTGAAGGAGCTGAAGCAGGCCAAGGCGGCCTTGACTATCATTAAGTGGAAAGGAGAGAAATCGAAGTTCCCAAAAGGCAGGTTCTGGAAAGAGCTACAGCTGGAACTGCCAGTAAAAAAAATTATCAGGAGTTCGAGCCTTGATCGGCAAGAGCCATCGTATGTCTCCCTAAGAAATGTTTGATGCCATTACCAAAACAAACAAACAAAAAAATCACAATCCAGAGCCCACCCACAGAACGGAAAAACCCACAAAAAATATAGAAGTTAGGCCAGGGACTGGGGAGGAGCTCAGGCTGGGTCTATGTCCCATGTGTTTCAGAGGACAGTCGTGCCTCCCTACAGCTTTTCTACTGTCCTGGCACTAGAAAGACCAAAGATACATATGCTTTTCTCTGTGATTGCATGCCCTTGTAATGAACCACAGAAGTCCTGATCTCAGGGTCTATGTCTGGGGTCTTCAGATGGGGTGCAGCCAGCACCTTGTCATAATGTGGCCTTTGTACATGCCAGTTCTTCTTGATCCAGTTCTTAGAGTTTCTTAGATTCCAAGACAGGGCTTCTTTCCTCTTCTCCATTCACTCCCTCCTGATTGTTGGTCCCTGTAACACAGGCTGGGATTCAATTTGAATGGAACATAGAGCCTTTCATTTTGACCTGGGCAGCAATAAACCTGATGAGGTTTAAAAAAAGAAAGTGTAGAATTTTGCACCTGGGAAGGAATAACTGTGAGTATCAATACAGATTGGAGGATAACCTGCTGGAGAGGAGCTTTGGGGAGAAGGACCTGGGGGTCCTGGTGGACGACAGGTTGGAGATGATCCAGCAGTGTGTCCTGGGATCCTGGGGTGCATTAAAAGGAGCATGGCCAGCAGGTCAAGGGAGGTTGATCCTCCCCTTCTACTCTGTCCTTGACAGGCCTCACCTGGAGTACTGTATCTAGTTCTGGGTACAAAAAAGATGGGGATCTCCTCAAGAGGGGCCAGCAGAAGGCCACAGGGATGATAAAGTGCCTGGAGCATCTCTCCTATGAGGAAAGGCTGAGCGAAGTGGGTCTGTTCAGCCCTGACAAAAGAAGACTCAGAAGTGATCTTATTAAGGTTTATAAGTATCTTAAGTGTGGGAGTCGAAGAGACATGGCCAACCTCTTTTCAGCAGTCTATAAGGATAGGACAAAGGGAAACAGCCATAAACTTGAGTACAGGAAATTTTGCACCAGTATGCAAGGGAACTTCTTCACAGTGAGGGTGATGGAGCACTGTACCAGGCTGCCAAGGAGGTTGTGGATTCTTCTTTTCTGGAGGTATTCAAGACCTACCTGAATGCCTACCTGTGTAGTGTGCTGTAGGGGGCCTGCTTTGCAGGGGGGTTGGACTCGATGATCTCTGGAGATCCCTTCCAACCCCTGCAATGCTGTGATCAGTGTCCCAGCCCTGTAATCCTGATTGCTATGGGACTGCACATTTCTGCATTGATGGGGGCAGCATAAACTCTTGAAGCTCCTCATCTTCTCTGTGTACATTTCCATAGAAGCAGTTGCAGATAATTTAGCAATGTGGAATTGCTGTTACAGAAGCAGTGTACATATATGTTTTTTTAAACATGCTCTTCTAGGTGCTATTTGTATTGTAGCATTTCTACTAATAAGAGGTCTGTCTCTAGGACTCTCCAATCTTCTGAGCATCTTAAATCCTTCAGGACTATAATGTTTATAATCTAGGGAATAGCTCTCACTAGCACAGGTCATCTCTGAGAGGTTCTTCTTTGAAGAGTAAGCTCAGGGATTTCACAAGCACTGCAAAGAACCCTAGTATACTACTGATCCCACCTGCTGTCTCTGTGCTGCTGTCTGGGGAAAGCATTGTGCATGGTGCTGCTGGAGGCTTTGAGAGAACAGTGGTTATATGCCCAACTCTCCAGGGAATCCAGCAAAAGTACTTGAGCTCATTGAAAGCTCCATCCAACTGGGTAAGACTTGGTGTGCTCTGCCTGGGTCTGAATAACATAGCTGTTTGTCATTTGGGGCTGAGGTTTAAACTGGCCTTGGTTTTACACAGCAAACTTTCACCCCTCTTGTTTCTAATTGCTGAACTGGGAGTGTATTTCAGGTTCTGCAATTTTTGCACAAAATGGAAGTATGAAACCCACTGAGTACAAGCCCTTGCTTCAATAGAAGGCAAGAGGCGTAGGAAAATACCTTGTGGATTAACCCCCAGCACACGAGACTTTCAGCACAGTAATGGGGGCTGTAGGACAGACCAAAGCACAGCAGGACCCTGGCATTAATTGGTGCTGTAATTCATAACGTTTCTACATAATGCTATAAGCTCCAGGGGTGTCTGTTCTCCTGCAGCTCCCCTTACAAGGGCCTTCTAACTTAATTGTGGTATTCAGTACTACACATACTAAGTGCATGCTTATTTTTTTTGTAGATAATGGGTGCTCCTGAGTCACTTCTGACTCATGGTTTCTCTCCATTGGTGTTCAATGGGTGAAGCATAGCTATTGATAATGGCATTAAAAAAGCATTATGAGATGGTGTCTACGCACTATTCACTCAGCTGGCAGTGAGGTTTGAGGGTATTCTGGGGACCAGCCCATTCCAGCCTTGAAACTGAATCCTAGAGTCAGCAAAGGCCTTGCTTGTAGCCTTTTGTGCTTAATAGTGTTGTGGCAGGGCAGCAGGCAGACCCAGCCACCTGCATCGTTGAGGCAAGTACTGTACCAACGTGGAACATATAGCAATTCCTTTTTTCCCACCTCCTTTTCCATCCCTTACCCACTCTCCCCCTCACTCACAAAGCAAGTAAATTTTACTTTAAGCACGTGAAAAATTGCAGTCAGCTTCACTGAAGGTCATGGAGCTCCTCGTCTGCTCAGGATATGTAAAAGCTTTGCTGTTGCTGAACCTTGTTTCCATGGCGGTTGGTGTAGAGGCAAAGCTGCTTCCCACACTCCAGCAAGCTTCATTGGCAGGAGGTAGCAACCAAGGCCATGCTAAGCTTCTTGAACCCATTGTGACTGCATCATTTTGCCCAGCTTTCCATTTTTGTTAGAGATTTCGGCATCAGTGTGATCAGCTGCAAGATATGCAGGCAAAGGGAAGGCCACGAGGCCAAAGCAAGACTGTGTTAGAGTCTAATGTGATTGTTAAAAATTTGACTTAAAAATATACATCACCATGGGCCTTATGGGGATCTTCCAGGCCAGGGGTGGTCCCCAGTCCCTGCTGCATTGTCAACCTGAGAACTGCTCTGGTACACCTACCATTTCATCCGGTGCTTGGTTTCCGTGATGGCTTCTGTCACAACGTCTGTCCAGTTCCCTTGATTCTTTTATGTCTCCGTGCCTTAACCTAACATTTATCAACATGCAGCTCATACAGAGTTCCTCGTTGTTATTTCCTAGAGAAACAGCCTTGCACGAATTGGAGATAATATTTCTTTCCTTATACTGTTTGATGTCACGTAGCCGTTACAGAGTTTCCCCTTCTCTTTTCTGTACATTTTTGCCTTCGTGTTATTTGACCTGTGAAGCATCAGTATTATTTTATTTTGCTTTTCAATAAAACATTTTCACCTTTGCATTTCAGTCCTTGTGCATTTGTCATGAGTATCATTTTCCTCCCCATTACATCTACAAAAGGGTGTTAAAGAAAGGTGTCTGTCTAAATATCAGGATTGTTTGGGGATGCTGTTTTAGAGGGGGGGGGTGGCTGTTTCATGATGTGCCTGCGCAGATCACATGTCACCCAGAAATGAATATGCACACACAGAAAGCCTCTAACCCATAGAGCAATCACAGGACAGAAAAATGTGGAGGAAACACCATCCTTTAGGTTGAGAGGCTGAGCAATGAGCTGGAGTTCTGGAAATGTGTCTGCCTTATGCAGAGAAATCAGACTTAGGCTGCTTTGCCCATCACCTTCAGTTAGCTGGACTAAAAAAGTTTGTCAGTGTTTTTTTTTTTTCCTTCTTTTTCTCATCTGAGCTACTTTCTTAACTTTTTCCTTTGTATGGTAGCAGGTAAGTTCAGAGAGAGCCCAAGACTTCAAGACCACTAGTGAAACAAATGGAACCATAGAATCTTTTGAGTTGGAAGGGACCCTTAAAGATCATCTAGTCCAACTCCCCTGAAATGAACAAGGAAACACTTGTGATGATCTCACATGTCTTTGTCAGCCAAGTCCAAAGGCATCCCATTCTCAGGAATAAAACACATCTTCAGGAATTTGAACATCTTGCCTGTGAGAAAAAAAAGAGTCTCAAAATGTTGCATATTTAAAATGGATAAAAGAAAACCATCACTGTCAGCTCAGTGAAAACACTTTATTTCAGCAGTTTTGGAATCATTCACATTAGTTGAACCTGTTCTTTGTGTGCAGGCGGGTGGAACAGGTGACCTCCCAGGGGCTGCTTCTGCCTACGTTTCTCTGTGATTCTGTGATTCCACTTTCAAAAAGAAAGACCTTTCAAGCCAGCAAAGGAGCTTTTTCTTTCAGAAGATGTTGAAGCTTGGCTGATTTCAAAATAGATCTCAGTTAGTTATAGAAAGGTTTGAATGAGGCCTGGACTCAGTCAATTAGGAGATTGGTGCAGATTTTTTATGCCTTTGAAATAGAGTGGTTAGAGCACTCTGCAGCTTAAAGTGACAATTCTGACAGAGCTAGCTTTATCATCTACTTCTGGTTTCAATGAATCTGGTTTCAATGAAAGTGTTTTCCTGTATATGGGGGGGGATCCCCATAAGACTTTTGTACAAGTTCAATTCAAATTCCATTGTTAAAGAACAAAACAAAGTGCCCTACTTCCTCCAATAGGATATTAAGGCTTAATTGTTCAATCATTTTTCCTATCCTGAGTCCCCAGTCCCTAAATAATCTAGGGACAATGTGGTTTACAGCTAGTCATGTCTTTGAAGAAGCATTTATTTTTATGGTCTTAAAATAAGATGCATTCAGGTGCAACACAGTGCACCTACTGCTGTGAGATAAGGAAATGTTCGAGAAAGCCAAGGATTGCAAGAATAACAGCATGACCATCATGTGGAAGGAGTGGTATTGTTATTTATATGAACCTCAGCTGACAGAAGGGAGCTTGACACTGCTGCCATTCCTCTGCGGGGCAAAGACCTGGCCCCTCTGCAGGCTTGAAGCTGAGCTCTCCTCACTGCCACAACCCTTCACATACCAGGAGGCTTTTCTTGCTGCTTACCAGTGCTCCTGTCCTGCTCAAACACTCTATGTCCTCAGGTACCCCCCACTGTCAGCACCAGCATGCAGGAAGTTAGTGGCCTTATACTTTTTTTTTTTTTTTTTTTTTTTTAAGTTTCATGGTTCTGTTAGTCAGCTGGAATTAATTGCTAAGTGCCACAGCCCTATTAATTCCTATCCTTTCTGCTGCTCACCCGTTAGCCACGACACCTTCAATATGCTTACCGCATCCCAAACCATAGATAGAACTTCAAGGACATCCTTTAGGTTTGCTGTTTTTCAGTGCTCGTGATGAAAGAGATGCTGCCCTTGTCTGGCGCCGTTCCAACCGAGCATCTTGCTGAGCTGTACAAGCTCCAATCAACCCCAAGAAAAGCTTTAAAGGACAGTATTTTCATCCCCCCACATTGCAGAGAAGGGATTTGACGGGGACGTTTAAGGCTGACATTTTCCACTTTCTAAGTTTGGAGGCTTCCATTTTGGGATGAGCAGCATGAGAGGGAGGGAAGAGGGCCTTAGCCTTGGTGGCATGGTGGGGCAATTGGTTCCTCTTGGTGCAAGGGGCTGCCCGAGCTGCAGGCAGGTGACCCCAGTCAAGACCTTTGTTTTACAAAACTGCCGTGGCAGCAGCGATGCCATGCAGTGCTGAATCAGAGTATGGTCCCAGCTTGTCCTGTTGTTCTGGTCACTCATTTACCACTTCAGCTTTCTCAAAAGCCAAATGCAAAGCAAAAATGCTGATGTTGCTCCTGCAGGGCCAGCTGGCAGGAGCGTAGGTCACCAAGTAGAAATTCACTGGGCTTGTGCCAGGCCTTCGGTGGGGAGGGGGAAATTTGTGCAGGTTTGCCATCAAACAGCAGATGGTGTTCTGGCTTTTCTCTCCCTGCACCCCGACCCTTGTGCACCCCAACTCCTCTCCCTTACGCTCTTAGATACCACCGAAGCGGTGTTTGACTTCATCCAGAGGAGCCGCAGGATGATCGTGGTGCTGAGCCCTGATTACCTGACGGAGAAGAGCATCAGCCTGCTGGAGTTCAAGCTGGGCATCATGTGCCAGAACACCATCGCCACCAAGCTCATCGTGGTGGAGTACAGGCCGCTGCAATGCACCCACCCCAGCATCCTCCAGCTGAAGGAGTCCGTCTCCTTCGTCACCTGGAAGGGAGAGAAGTCCAAGCGCTCGGGCTCGCACTTCTGGAAGGCCTTGCGTCTTGCGCTGCCACTGCGCAGCCTGAGTGCTGGCTCTGGCTGGAACGAGAGCTGCTCCTCCCAGTCTGACATCAGCCCCGATCCTGTCCAGAGGAGAAAGAGCCGGTTGAAAGGTCGGCCTGAGACACAGGGAGCCCTCACGCCCCCAGCCTCCACACCGAAGGCCAAGCACCGGGCCTCACGCTTCTTGATCTGCCAGTGCTGTGGGACCTACTGCCATGGCGGCAGCAGACTGAAGCGCAAGCGGCGGGCAGTGGCTGAGCCCAGGTGGGAGACCCACCTCTGCAAGGCTGAAGGGCGAGGGGGGCCAGGCAGGAGCCGCCCCGAGCCCCCGCCTGCACAGGGCCCAGCTCTCGCCCTCTGCCATTACAGCGATCTATCAAACAACAATGACTTCTACGTCCTCTAGCTGAGAGACGGAGCTTGGTGGCACTACAGGTGCTGGGCCCATGGAAGACATTCACTGGAGCCTCTGATGTGACATTTATGCAGTATCAGAGGCAGACCCGGTGTCTTTCTACACTGCCTCACTTGCTGTCAGGCACAAAGGACTGCAGCAACATCCCAGCTGTCTTGCTGCTGCTGGTCTGAGCCAGGGACCTGCAATGGCATGCAGAGCAGCAGTCAGGGCTGCCTATGCTGGCGAGCCCTTCTCCTTAATTACATCGCCAAGTGGAGCTGAGCATGCCTGAGCATCTCCTCAGCATTTCTTGTGGAAGGGCAGGTCCTGCTGGCATGGTGGGATGGATGCAGGGATGCAGGAAGGGAGGCAGAAGCTGGTGCATATGGGGGGAACACCCAGGGAAGGAGAAGGAGAAGGGTTTGGCAAACAACACTTTGCTAATGAGCTCAATGGGAGCCCAGCCATGCAGGAGTGCACTGTGTAGCACGGTGCTTTATCCACTGTGGTTTAAAATAACTTGGTCAAACGTTTTAAATCCCTTCTCTCTGAATAAAAGTGAGTTCTTTAACCTGCTGTTGTTACCTGTGGTCTCAGGAAATGGTAAGTGCTGGAGCCTTGCTCACCAGGCAGCACCTGTGAGGTGATTTGCCCACTCTGACGGAGGACACCCTGGTCCCAGCACACCAAGTCTCTTGCTGGACTTGGTCCCTTCCTGGCTTCTCCAGTGATGAATTTGTTCTGCAGCTGTATGGTTGGTTCTGGTCAGTCTGACTTTTCTCTCTTGGGTTTCCAAGGATGTTCCTATATTTTTCCTGCCTTGGAAATGTGACCAGAACCCCCAGGGTACACAGAGTGTGTGGCTGCCAGAACAGACCCCAATTTGATGTCCTCAGATGCAACACTGATAAAATTGCTTGAGCAATTGAGGAGCCACATTTCACCCATGTTGATACTGCTGAAATCATTATGATTCATACACCATTTTCCTTCTCTCACCAGCACCTCTTTCCCAGCAGTGCCCCATCTTTTTTTAACCCTTTATTTTGGATATCAAGCAAAGCTGATAGCTTTCCCGTTACAAGGCACTGTAATCTTACCAGCCCTGCTGCAGCAGACCAAGAAAATGGAAACCAAAGCATAGGTGCTGAGTAGACTAAGTAAAATAAAGGCAAAAATACCCAACCAGCTCATGAGAGATAGAATATTAGACTCTAAAGAACTGTCCAGGCACAGGTTCCTTGGTAATCTCAGGCTGATGCATTTTAAATGGCTCAGATGTTTTGTCCATATGTAGCCATTCTGAATGATGAAATAGGATGGGAATGAATGAGATATTTGGAAAGTGAGTTGATAAACTGCAAAATGCTTTGTGAGAAGTTATCAAAATAATGTTAATTGGTTAAATGGTTCCAGTTGCCCTGAAATAGTCTGTCAGTGAGTCTGGCGGAGCTGAAAACAGGAGTGACAGAATTCAAATAGCTTGCAATCAGTCAACCTCCAGAGCCAATCTTTGCTATTTGTTGACATATAAACAGCATTTATGTACCATGGCTGCTCCAAAAGTAATGCCACCTACTTTATGATATTGTTGGATGATGTCAGAAGTAGATATTGATGGTATGGAAGTGGAGATTGATCCTTCCCACCAATACTCTATTACATTTTGTTGCAATGTGACAGATGACAACAGAGGAACAGTCTGAAAAAGTGGAATCTGACATGGAAGTGTGTATGAAGCAAAGGTGTGTTACTGAATTCCTCCATGCAGAAAAAATTGCACTTACTGACATTCATTGACAATTGCTGAATGGTGGATGTTGGCACAGTGAGGCAACAGGTAAGGACACTGCTGCTCTTGTTGCTTCAACAGGGCTAGTGCAAATTTACTGCTCTTTCTACTACCCATCAACTGTCCCAAGGTATTGGTTGCTCAGAAACAAATATTGAGAGAACACTGGATTGCAGTGCAGAACTGTAAGCCTTTGCCTCTGAGACCAAGCTCACAGAGCCTGAAGCTGTGCTGGCTGGTTTGTTTCTGCAGGAACAAAGGCATGAAACACTGGAACACACTTCAGTTGTGTTTGTCTCTCTTCCTAAGCATATTGCTTAGAAATGCCCCCAGGCACCTGAACAAAGTCGTGTTTAAGACCAGAATAGACTTCTTTTCTCATGGTTTGACTTCTGCTCCGTGAAAATCAGATACCTCTGTTCATATCTCATCTGACAGTGACTGGTGCAGATGGACTGTAGCCGCTGCTATCCTCTTTGATACACGTGCATTAGTTAATTGTATACAAAAATGCAATTACTTCTGCAGTTACCTGTCCCCACAGTACTATTATCCCTGCCCTCCTACACAGTTATCTCAAGAGATAACTAGATTTGTATCATAATTTCCATTATCTCTAATACATTCAGTTAATACTCATATAACCTGGTATATCCTACCTGTAGTGTGCAGTGGTACACGGATACTAGGTCATAATGTGCAGAGCCTTTTGTGCAGTATTTCAGCTGCTACTGAGATGTTTTTAATCTGTGGAAGGCTGGTGATGAAGACACTGAACAGAGCTGGCTAGGAAGCTCAGGAGCATGATCTCCCTGATCATCAATCTCCATTTTAGTAACTGCAAGGCTGAGTACCCAGGAGGTCTCCTCTTAGTAAATTCTGTGTTTATAATAGGCTGCCCCTCACTTCTTCAGTCCCAACATCAACAACAATTCTGTTCCTGACTGTTAGACCAAATGCTGATCTTGAAGCATCTGATCTAAGAGTATTTATAGCAGAAGTTTTCCCAAATGATGACAAGACTGTGAAGGAACTCACACAAGCCAGAAATAAGGAAAAAATATATAGGAGGCAAGGTTTGACTCTTGAGCACATGGGTGTTGGTGATTCCTACTGCTACTGATCATGCTGCAGAGAGGCTGCAGCTCTAAAAAGACAATAAAAACACCACCCAGGTCCCTCTGTAAAGACACATAAATGTTGCAGAATGGTTTTTAGAAGAATATGACTTTAATTCCTCATAACGTTGGACACAGCAACTGTCAGACATGCAGGATGCAACATTTACACCAGCATGCCTGTAATCACTGTGATGATTTGTACCTTGCTAAAATATATTTGCCACAAGGTCATTTGATTGCCATCAAAGAGTTTTCCAACTCATCAGCAGTTTGTTCAAGTGAATAATCTACCTTATCCTTAAAATGATGCTTGATCTTTGTGTTGCTTGCTTTTGCTTCCAGACAAGGTTCTTGTTGCACTTTCCTTTGCTGCGGCAAAGAGACTTCTCAGGGATTTTTCTATCTTTTGAAGGTATTTGCACACTGTTGACAAATCATCTGGCAACCTATTGCTCATGAGAGGTTTCTTCTCAAGTTTTACAACACGTTTGCTTCCTTTTCTTTGCTATTTAATTTTTCAGCGCCATTTTCAGAATGCAGGGCTCCTCTTTCTTTTCCTTTGCAAGGAGATGAAGTCCCTGATCCACAGTTATTCACTGCCTTCTGCTGCTCCTTCCTTTGTGCCACCACAGCTCAGTAGGAAACCAGACTTCATTGCTCATCCACTCCAACACCTTTTCCAAGGAGGTGTTATGGCTGAGATGTCCCCCCTCGCTCTGCCGGCATGATCTTAGATGAATTTTTTGTTATGCTGCTCTGTGTTTGCTTGGGGCCAGTGCATCAGGCAATCCGGATCACGTTGCATGCTTGGTGAAGCGGGAAATAGTGATGACAGGCAATCTCTGTGCCATCTGCCACAGTTATTAGCAAACGATGTTTTATTTATCTGCAGATGAGCCATGAAGACACTGACTCCCATTGGAAACATGTTCAATGACAGGTTCTCATCTTTTGAGATCTACAGGTTAATGGATGAAGAACCAAAATCCACCATTAAGGCACACAGAGTTATGCTTAACAGAAGACTCCCGTGTCTATGCACCTACAGTTAGCAGCCACGCTGGAAATACCATTGATGTGAAAAGGCCATTTGAGAGGCTGTATTCCCATAAAACCATGTTTGTTGGCTACTAATCAGTTATGCTGACACCATGAAATTCAATATGTGGGCAATTCCATTCTTATCTTTCCAATACTTTGATCCATTCTAGCAATGATCCTGCAGTTGTCCATAGAGATTCACAAAAAATCAGTTTCCTATTCATAGGAATTTTTGCTGTTTTGGTTATTTTTCCTCTTCTGTTATCAAAACAGAGCAGAAATAGCACAAGATGACATCAAAATTATCCATGACTAAAATGTTTTCTTAACCATCTACATGCATAGCAAAAGCAAAATATCTAATTCCCAATTTAACTTCTATTTTCTTTAACATAAACAGATGAAACGTGCTATGCCAAGAGTGTGAAAAATATGTCAGTATTACATCTCTGGATTTTATTTTGTGTTTTGTTAAGCACACTTTGTTGAAACCAGTCCATTTGCAAACGCTTCAACTTCAGTGAAAACAGCATTTTCCTCTGAAAAATTTCTCCCAGTATAAATATGCCATCAGTCTGCTTTTGTCATCACACCAGCCTTTTTCTACTGGCCTAGCATTCTCAGTTTCCAGTGTTTGAGGTTTCCCAGTATTTTAAGATTTATTAAAGAATTAAATCAATGATGCCATAAGCTCGTCAACCAACACTCCAGCAACTGAAAAGGCTCTGACTGTATTCTTACAGCTAGTTGGAATAAATCAACATGTTTGCATATCAGATCATATCAGCTCCTCAAATCTCACTGTGTTTGTGTGTCAGGTCCAAGAACTTGGCTGTGGGTAATGTCTTACTACCTCTTTCCTCTCATGTATTGCCAACACAAATGGAGTTGTCTCGGAAGACTGTAATCCGTGCCTTCTGCTTTGCTCACACTCTTTCAGTGCACAGTTGCCAATGAAAGAAAATCCTGCTCCTTTCATGCTTAAATTTTAATTGCATGCTCCTTTCTGTAGGCAGACGAAAGTCAAATCTATCGTTTTGTTTCACATCTCTGTCTCAAAGGCATCTGCACCACTGGTGGTGATGCACTACAGAACAGCTGTTTGCTCCCATCCAGCATCAGGCTCGCTGACACATGCTCATTTACCTGCATTTAACATCCTTATAGAGATGAACAGCATTCCAAACTCACTCACTACACCATTCAGATTTGCATGCATTGAAAAAACAGGAACACTGGCTAGTTTCATCTGCTCCAAAAGTGCAAGTCAGAATTCTAGCTCATCTGAATAGTAAATGTTCAGTTGGTCTACTCTTGCCCAATATTTGACACAAAGATGGGCCTGAATGAAGAAAATAGAGGGCATCTGGGCTAAGCCACAAACACCCACACCTTGCATCTTTGTTTTGTTTTGTTCCTAGAATTGAGCCAGACCTCTTCCACACTCCTCCTCTTACCCTTGCCAGG